ACGTAGTACGTAGAGAGAGAGAGAGAGAGAGAGAGAGAGAGAGAGAGGGAATAACCACGGACTGTTGCAGCAATACCTTCGGAACCAGAGATACTGAGAGGAGAGAACTTGGCTCTGATATCATGTGAGAAATTGTATTTCTATATATTTGAGCCTTGAGCACCCATGGAAGATGTATTATAAAGCTTAACAAAGATGTGAGCAAAAACTCCAATTTATAGGGTTATAAAGCTGTGTACTATTAAAAAAAGTAAAATATACAAAGAACCACATTACTAATATGGACACCGATAAAAAGAAGAAAAATATTGTACCCAAAAAATGCAGGTTTCTATAATTTCCACAATATGAATGTGGCATAGTGCAGATTGGATGTCTTAAATCTGATGCTTTCAAAATCCCTATATAAAATCACATTTCCAATAGAAAGGCGATATAAAAGCAATTCAATCTTGTAAATTTCCCAATGAATAGAGTAATTTGTTTAACACGGGGTTCTTCCTCAAGCACAAGCCTTCACTAATTTTTTGCAAGATTACATATGGTGTTGATTTATTTAATAGTACATATTTTGCTCATAGGAAAATGGGAAAACGGGAGAAATGGCCCTCACTATCTTTGAGCCATTCAGACTTTCGGCTACATTTGGTGAGGCTTTCTACTACATTTGGTGAGATTGCATGATCACAACAACATTTAAACTTGATGACATTCCTTTTGTTCAAATGCAAGGGCCATCCACATCTTAGAGATAAATAATTCCTTTAGGCCTATGATGTGCAACTGTCTCCACCTTGGGTTTTCTTAGTGTGTGGTATGCATGTGTTCATGGCACTCAATATAGCATTACCTTGGTTCATTTTGGTTCTCTACTTTGGGCATCTTCACTTCTTTCTCTTGTCTTTCCCTTCCTTCTGTATTGGAAAAAACCTCATCTCCCTTTTGGGTGGGTAATAACTTGGTGCTGCCCTTAGTATCTTGGGCTTTTCCCCATAGAACAACATAAAGCCCAACAACTATCACAATTATTCCTACAGCGCTGCACAAGAAAGAATATGTAGGGTTACTCAACCCCTAAGTTGAAATGGGTAACAAAACTCCTTCAAATGTTTTCAAAAGGGTGAAAGTTTGTGCCAACTCGCATATAATTTATGTCTTTTTTAGGCCCGTAGCAGCTCGATATCAATTGGATGGTTAGGAGTAGATTGAAAATGATGGCAAGGAGTGGATTGAGAACAAGGCCACAGACTAGCGCTAGCTGTAATTTTCAAATTGTTCACTCCCAAGCTTCCATTTAATATCAAATGAATGGATCACTTTAAACACATAAATTTATGCGTGCATCGACACACATGTCCAAAAAATTCATAAGTGAATGTTGATAAGACTTGGTAAACTGCTATTTATAATAATAATAATAATAAAATGAAGAATTGATAAATTTCTCAATGAAATGCTTACCTCCCAATATAGAGATCAACATGGAGAAAGATAGGCTCCAAAATAGCAGTTATGACTGAGCTTAAAGGGCAGAAAGCAACAGCAAAGATTGGGCCTCTCTTGTGGATACACCAGCTTTGAATAAAGAAACCTATAGCCGAGCAAAAAACACCCTGTATTCTTGAATTATCAGTTGAATAGTAGGGGTTGAGCTCCAAAGATTTATAGTAAACGAGGACTACGAGAAAGAAAATTGAATGAATACACTTTCAAAGATGACAAAAACCAAGTAATTTAAAGAATAAATTAAACATGGGATTGAATACTATATGGTCTTTATCTTTGGTATAAGAAAGTCCTTAAGTAATTTGATAGCCAATGGTGCGCCATTGATTGCATTTGAAATATTTCTCTTGCACTTTGTGCAGAAATGATATATTGGTTTTGGTACAAGGAGGTCACAATTACCCTTAGAAATGTAGCATCGTCCATGAACTTCGATAGGTAGGAAGTGTCATTTCTCCACATGAAGTTTGTGAGGAACTCTCTCAGACTTTGAATACAGCCGGCGGCACACCCTTAGCTGCCCAATTAACCTATGATAGCTAATAGTGATTTTGACCATCTAGTAAAAAATGTAAAACAAAAAAAAAAAGCTAAAATTTGGAAATAACCAAAGCATCTTGTTGTGCTTTCTAAAGTTATGGAAAGTCAGAATAATCCCCACTTTAACTGTGTTTTTAGTTTAAAAGCATTCACACCCTATATTCTTGAATAGTTGAATAGTAGGGGTTGAGCTCCAAAGATTCATAGTAAATGAGGACTACGAGAAAGAATATCGAATGAATACACTTTCAAAGATGACAAAAACCAAGTAGTTTAAGGAATAAATTAAACATGGGATTGAATACCATATGGTCTTTATCGTTGGTGTAAGAAAGTCAGAATAAGATCCCCACTTTAACGGTGTTTTTACTTTAAAAGCATTCATATGCAATATCGAATTTATTTAACATGACCAAAGGTAAAAGCATGTTGGAAAACTCAAGTCTTAATTGGGTTAAGTCGGGTTCAATATATGTTGACAAAATGAAGTTTAAAAGGAAGATGACTACAGGGAAATACAGTAAAAAAAGCAAATAGACTTTGGAAATGACCAATCAGAATGCATTTTAAAGTCATAGAAAGTCTCAGTTACGATTCCCCTTTGTTTGAAGTTTTAGTAAAGAGGCATTCATAACTTAAGCAACATAGAATTTAACCAACGAGCTAGCACCAAGAATTGGAGAAACCGGGGCTGCAAATGTGTCGGGCCTGGGTGACTAAATGAAGGCAAAAAGAAAGAAAACTAAATGAATATGAATGCGATTAATCCAAAGATCAAATTCTAACTAAATGAATATGAATGCGATTAATCCAAAGATCAAATTCTTACGCTGTAGATATATGTTAGAAGTCTATAATTCCAGGCTAGTCTCCAGGCCGCCGCAGATCTTTCAAAGCTAACAGCAATCACACCGCATTGAACCATACCCATGAACAACATGAGTGCAGTCAAGGAGAGGTTAGCAGGGCAATCCTTGAAAACCCAAGCCTATAAAAAGTATACAAAGAGAGAAATTGAGAGGAGAGAAAATAGGGAGGAAAATTTGCATTAGTCAAAGATTTGAACAAAAGAGTTCTGCAGTGTTTTAAAGCTCTGTGAGTCAGAATCAGGCTCCCATGAGTTACTCCAGATTGGTATCAGACGGGTAAAAAAAGGTAAGCTTTGCGAAGCCAACTTGAGACTAACCAGATTCACTAGGCCCCAGCATTTACCGGTTCCTTGTTTATAAACACTGAGCAAAATAAGTAGAAACACTTATTGTGAGTAGTGGGTACCTGGTAGCTTATCCATGCAGAATAAGCAGTAACACTTATTATGAGCAAAATTATGCCCAAGGTTAAGTTGTCCTTGGTATCAACCAGTGATTTGGCTCCCAAAATATCAGAAAGAGATTTCGATGTCCGGAGGTGATGAAAGAATTCAAGAATAGGACCCTTGACGAATGTCATGATCATAGCACCTCCTATGCATATAATGGTGCCAATGACCTTCGCCCGGCCCCTTGGGCTCTTGATATGCACGTTCTCCAATCTATAAAGCAAAGTAGAAATGGACACTTTTGAGTCAGTGGTTGAAAATTGATGAATCAACTCTTTTTTTTTTTGGGTAATTCAGTGGGGATGATATGCCCCTACCCGGGTTTGAATTAGTTAGTGGTTTTTTAAGCTGTCAATGAGAATAAAAGCCACAACGTGCAACTAAGGTATGGGTGTGCTACCACCACGACCTTAGCCCCTTTTCCAACTTGAAAGCGCCTTAGTCAACTATGGTGGGTTCTAGTTCCAGATGGTCATAAATTGCGGAATAGTCAAATTTGTTCTTAGAACTGTAGGGACTCGGACGACCGTTGTTTTCCTATGTAATTTTTTTCACTTTTTTTATTTCACCATTTCACCATTTAGGCTAGCTCGCCCATATATGACGAGCCAACTCAGGAGTATGGAATGCCAAAACCGGCACCCGTTTCTTGTTTCTTAAGCAGTGGCAAAGAGAAAAGGATACTAATAAGGGGGGGGGGGGAAGTAAAGTTCACCTCAGGAGACAGGCCATGACAAAGGCGATTGCAGGGATGAGATTTGTTATGGTGGCTGCATAAGTTGAAGTGGTGTATTCAAAGCCCGAGAAATAGAGAACCTGTTCTAGTGTGATCCTGTAAGTTCACCAAATACCACTATGACACACTGTTCATTAAACAAGTATGATGAAATAAATCTTCCAGACCATAGGAACTTACCCTAAGAGCGCCAGCATAAAGATGTGAAACAAAGCCTTGAAGTCAAGGGGAGGCATTCTTTTCCTGTGAAATTCCATCCAATTTTACAGTGTCAAGGAGGAAAAATGCAAGAAAGATCTAAACTAATACAAAAAAAAGAATAGCTAAGAGACAGATAGAGTAACACATGCATTAGGACGGGGTGGCAACAGGTTAGGTTCAGGTCTACTTGTCGGGTCCCGGGTCTAGTCGGGTCCATTGCCATCCCTAACGTTTAGTAACAAATAGATATAGGAATCGAGAGAGAGGGGGAGAGAAAAAGAGAGCATGTTGAGTAACATATGGATTGGAGAGAGAGAGAGAGAGAGAGAGAGAGAGATAGAGGGCATGTTAAGTAACACAGTAGGAGTTTAGAGAGAGAGGAGGGGGGAAGAGGTATTTAGTACAGTGATCAGAGAGAGAGAGAGAGAGAATGTTGAGGAGCACATGTAATTGGTGCCTTTGGAAGAAGAGAGATGAGATGCTTTATTTTATTGTTAAAAAATATAGAAATTAATGAGAGACTTCCTATCGCGGTCGGATACTGAGGCTAGGAAATATCATCTTCTTCGGTGGGATAGGGTGTATATACCCAAGAGTGAAGATGGATTAAGTATAAAAAAAGTGGGGTTAGTCAATCAAGCTTTGTTGTGTAAATGGTGGCAACGTAACTTTACTCTTATGCATCAGCTGTGATATCATATTCTCCCTCATAAGTATGATATGGATAGGCATGTCTTGTGGATTGGGGGTGGTATTGGTGGTGAAGGTCGGTCTGTTTTTTGGTGGGCTATTTATTTGTGTAAACCACTGCTCCATCGTAATATTAGATGGTTGGTGGGAGATGGCTGCAGTAACTACTTTTGGCACCAAAAATGGCTTCGTGATTAGCCTTTGAAATTACTCTTCCCAGATGTTTTTGAGAGAATGGTGCAGCCTAATGCCAAGGTCTTAGAGTTGGTTGAGTTCAAGGGTAATGAAGTGGTGTGGAATGTTCATTTTTCAATGCAAATACTTACTCTAGTTACTTGGCTCTCTTGGAGATGCTAATCAGGTGTTTATTCCTAGGGATGTTGCTGATAAAGTGATTTGGGATGTTGAAGCAGATGGTGAGTTCTCGGTTAAGTCTGTCTACCTTCTTCTATTCAATGATCGATTTAGGTGGTCTCTACCTCAAGTGGCTATTTTTTGGAAGTGTTCAGATTTTCCTTTGGTTGACTACCCAAAATAAAATTCTAACTGTGGATAATCTTATTAAGAGGGGGAAGATTTTAACTAATATCTGCTTGATGTGTAAAGATAATAGTGAATCAGGGGCCCATCTGTTTTTACATTGCCCTTTTGTATATAGGATTTAGTCTTGGTTCTTTGGACAGTTGGGTATATCTGTAGAAATTCCACAAAGTGTGTTTGGTGTGGCTGCTAAAATGGCTTTTCCCTATCTCCCTAAGATTGGTAAAAAAGTGTGGCAAATTACCTTAGCCTCGACTATGTAGGAAGTATGAAAAGAAATGAATAGAAGAACTTTTGAGGGTGTGTGTCTACCATTTCATAGACTCCTTAATGTCATTAAGCATTCAATTTGGTGTTGGTTGTCTGTGATATCAGAAGAGTTGGCTATCACTGAAGTAAATGTGTCCCTAAATCTCCATAATCTTTATCGTAATTTTGATGGGAGTTTTCTAAAGAATCTTGGTTTGGCAGGCTTTGGGGGGATTGTGAGAGATTCGAATGGAGGAGTTATCTTCTCCTTTGCTGGTCCAGCTAGAGAGACTACTGCTAAACATGCCGAGCTTCTTGCCTCGTTTCAAGGACTGAAGATTTATCGTGATAAAAATATGGGCAGTCCCTTAATTGCCAAAGCGAATTCTTTGAATGTTATCAGATGGTATACGGGTGAGCAAAGCGTATCATGGGTACTACGGTCTATTTGGCTGTAAATTGCTGAAGGGGATTCTTTGAATGTTATGAGATGGTGTAGGGTTGAGCAAAGGGTACTGTGGGTACTAAGGTCTATTTGGTCGCAAATTCGCCAGTTTACTAGTGTGATTCCTATCTCATTTGTTTATGTCTATCATGAGGCGGATTCTGTAGCTAAGTCTTTGGCTAAATATGGCGTGATTTGTTTTGATATTGTGATTGGTGATGATGCAATGTTACCCTTATAGTCTCTTTCCATCCATAAAATTATTAACATTGGTCAAAAAAAAATAAAATAGAAAAGAAAGAGAGAAACATGTGAGTTAAGTACGTACGCAGGAAAGGAAGAAAAAGAGGTTTAGTTACCAGTCTAAGAAAAAAGCAACAGGGGCAATGGCGATAGTGGCCACAGCCTGTCTATACGTTACGAACACGTAGCGATTCATGCCATGCTCCAATGCAGCTTTAATGAGTATATACATAACCGCAAGCGACGAGATAAATAACATCTGGGAAAGGACAGGACCATATCCTCCCAAACCCATATCTTTCTCTCTCTAAAAAAATCCCTTTGTCCCCCCGAATGCTCGATCTCAATTTCGAGAGATGGGATTACCCCATTTTCTCGCAGGTTTTATAACAGCAATAACGAACCATTGTCGTCACAGATGAGATGAGACAGATTCCACTGTGGGGTGGAAACGGTCCGGGGTGGCGCCACTCAAAAAAAAATAAGGCGGGCCTGGGCCATAAACTTGACCCGATGGCTGGGCCTGACCCAGGCCAAGACAAGCCAGCCTGGTTTGGCCCAACTCGGCTCTCGTTTTTTATTTTTTGTATTGCTTTTTTTTGTCTTTTAGCCAATGCAGCACCGCCCGATCCTAATAGGCTAGACTGGTTTGTAAGGGTGGCAATGGACCTGGACCTGATCTGGGGCCCACGGGTATACCCGACACAGGTCAGGTACGGCTCTAGCATTTAGACCCAGCGGGTCTGGTTCGGGTCCAGGTCCAAAACTTAGACCCAAACGCTATAAGGGTCCGGGTCCAGCTGGATCCACCTCATTCCCGTAAACCGTTAGAGATAAAATACTTTAATTTGAACCCTATTCATTTAGGCGTATTAAGGATCATATATAATTAGAACTAGTAGTCATCTTTAACTATTAAACGACAAATCACATGGTTTGAAATCTAATAGCGATTGTGCCATTGTTGCCAATAATACGGGGTACATGATGTTAATAAAAAGGGCAAAATAAAAAAAGAGGCTCGACGGGGTAGATCCGACGGGTACAAGTATAGGTCCATTTTTTGGAACCAATGGATCGGGTCCAAGTTTGAGTCCAAAACCTGGATCCGAACCCATACCTGACCTATTACAACCCCCACTGATATTGCCCAACCTGGGTGTTGTATTTATTTATTTTATATTTTTTTTAGCCAATACTGCATAGCGCGGTCCAAACAGGCCAGTATGGTTTGGCCCAATCTAACTCTTATTTTTTATTTTTTTATATTATTATTATTTTTTAATCCATGTGGCACGACCCGTCCTAATAGGCTTAGGGTCGGGTTTGAAGCATTGAAGAGTCATGACGTCACAAACGAGATGAGACATATTCCACTATAGGGTGGCACTGGATGGCCCACCCAATAAATTAGAACCTTGGGCCAGGCCAAGTTGGGTTAAGCCAAGATAGACGAGCTTGGTTTGGCTTTTGTTTTGTTTTATTTTTTTATTTATTATTATTATTATTTTAGCCAACGCGTCATGGCCTAGCGCTATAAGGTTCAAGGCCAGGCTTGAACCGGCGAGTCTTCTCTGTCGTGTCACAACATTACCAATTTCAAGCCATGTGGCGTCATCAGGTGCGACCTGGCTGACGCGTCGAGTCCGCCATTCATGAAATAAATTAAGACTCTTGTCTGCGATTTGTATGCCGAGGCTCTAAACAATCCAAGTAAAACACATCATTAAATAGGGTAAAAAATGTGCTTTCAATACTAGAAATTTTTGTAATAGCTTTAAAATATATTTTTATTTTAAATTATAAAATTTAAAACTTTAAAAATAGTATATATTGAGCAGATAAAAAAAAAACTTGCAAATCTTGAAAATTGACAGTAAAAAAATGTATTACAAGATGTACTATTTCTTAAACTTGAAATCAATTTTTTTTCTCATGTCTATGCATCTTAAAACTGAGATGATCAATTCGAAGAAATTTGAATACCAAAAGAACCTCGCCTAGAAATTTTTTTGATATGAGTTGTAATTTGATTGTTTACAACCTCGCTCTATATGAACTCTTTCTTTTCAGTTTCGCTTGGATTCTGTATTTTGACACGCCCGAGTCAACCCATGTTGAAGCGTCTGCGGGTCTTGGCGTCTTGCCAAAACCTTTTCTGCTCCCGCGGGAGCCTGATATCTTTCGTTACTCCCGGGGAAGAGAACATATCTTTAACTCCCTTGAACAAAATTTAAAGGAAAAAAGTTCTTAAAAGATGTCAATTTTACTCTTCAGAAATAAGGTATACCTCAAAAACTCTTAGGAGAAATCATCGAAAAACTCTCCTCCTAATCATCTCGACCTCGAGATATATAGGTGTACGTTGTTTCTAGTGATTAATAAATACTTGTAACTTAGAAAAAAAAAAAAAAATTAAGTTATGAAAATAGTGCATCTTGTAATGTATAACTTTGACCGTCCATTTTTAATATTTTCAAGTGTTTGTAGATTTTCTATATCTACACTATTTTGAAGCTTTCCGGCACTGAAGCATCTTTTGGCATCATTTGGAGTGTGCCTTATTTTGATTGTTTAAAGATTCAACCTTATGCAAGGGCTGTTTAAAAGCAAGATTTATTATGACAAATTTACCAATTTATGTACCTAAGAGAAGAATTATTTAATAGAAAAAATTTATATACAAATCCTGTTATAGCTTTGATATTAATAAATAGTTTCATATATTTTATTTTTATTGCAATCAAAGTCCATTTTAAGAGTATAAAGTATATTTTAATTCTATTGCTTTCTCTATACATCAAATTGGTGCATCAATATTTTTCACCATCACAGAACTATAAAAAATATTTTAGAAATAATTTAAAATAATAAAATTCCCAAATGACCCTTGAATACTAAACTGTCATGTACTATTTAAGGGTAATTTGGTAATTATATTTATTTAAAATTATTTTTTTAAGTTTTAGGTGTGTGAAAGTGAGAAGTATGAACATCCTAAATTTAAGCTTAATCCAATATATAGAAAAAAAAATTAAAATATTTTTATCATAAAAAATAGGACTTAATTGTAAATATGAAGTATATCTGACTATTTTCAAATATTTAAATAAATAGGGATTTGTATATGAATTTTTATTTTTCATTTTATTGTTTTTAATTTGATTTTAAAAATCTCATAAAACTAAACATCATATGATAGTTGAAAATGGCTAAAATGTTAAATAGTTGATAAGCTAGGCATATTTTGATTAATTTCTCATTTGTCAAATACACCTAAAAGTTGTACTATTCAATATTTTATCTTAGGTGTGATTCAATATTTTTTAAACACAGTGTGATACATCATTGATGAGATATGCGAATTTTGATTAGAAAATTATGGGCTGCTTGAAATCAAATCAAACATATGGGTAAGATATTAGATAGTTCAAAATTTAGATGTCATTTGATAAATTTACATTTTAAAGAATGTAAAAAAAAAAAAGACTGAAATAGGAATTGCCTGATCTGGCTGGGTATGGGGATCACGGTTGGAAATTGGTGGGTGGAACTAAGCAAGATAGTGAGAATTATGGAAAACTTTTGAAGAGAACCAAAAAAGGAATCTTAATTTTCTTGTTTCCAAACACGAACACATCACTACTACACGATAATTTAGGGGATGTAACCTCTACAATTTAGTCACTAACCTCAAAAACAAATAAATAAATCATAACCACTCTATATATTAGCATGGAATGAATAACAATCCAAGATTGAATGGTAACCATCCATTTTTTCAGCAGCTAGATCTAAGTAATTGAAGACCTCAAAATCTCTCTCCCTCTCTCTCTCATTTCTTTTTCACAAGTATTCACATAGTTGAGTCATTGGAGATTTGGCCTCCAGTAAGAATGGTGTCCAAGACCTCGCCATGGGGTTCAGGTGGTTCTATCATCACGACCCAACCACATTCTCAAGTGTTCACATGGTTATTCTTAAATGAAGCTCAAAATCTTCTATTGAAAAAATTTTGCAGGAGAGAGTGAGGGACTAAATGCACAATGCGCTAACACAAGAGATAACTATTATTTATTTATTTATGAAAATAAATAAATAGAAATAAAAATATATTTTAAAGCTATCACAAAGATTTTCTGTATTCAAACCACATTTATCGACACTATTTGAATATGTGCATTACTTTGATTATTTAGAGTCTCAACTTTATACAAACCGCATCCTTTATTTATTTATGGGCTCGGATTCTATGAGGTTGCAACCTTAAACAATCCAATTAAGGCACACCTCCAAATTTTATCATAACATGCTATTTTGGGATAGAAAAATCTTAGGATTATCTGAAAACCTAGTTTTATGTCTAATTATAAAATTTTAAACTCTAAAAATGGTTAAAATCAAATAGACCTATAAACATATGAAAATCTTGAAAATGGGCGGTCTAAAAAATGTGTTGCAAGATGCACTATTTTTGGGACTCAAAATCTTCTTCTTCTTTTTTTCATATTCATACATATCGATGTCGAGATAGTCAATTAGAGAGTTTTTCAACATTAAAACAACCTTTTCTGATGGAGTTTTGAGGCATATATATGATTCTACATTTTAAGGTTGCAATGTTATATAAACTTTTTCCTTTATTTATTTTTATTTTTGGGGTTAGATCATGTGAGAGACCTTTTTGCTTTTTTCTATTATATGAGATAACTCTTATCGAGCGAACATGTCAATAGCTCACCCCAAGTACAATACACATAAGATATGGGGAAGCTTTCTATGCTTTCCCTACAGCATAAAACTTATATACTTCCCCTTATCCAACCATCCATTATGCATGGAGGGCTAAGATTACCCCAATCATAATGTCACGTCTTGACACTATTCTATTTTTAATTATTTTTCTATAAATATTTTGTCACTAAATTTTGGACGTCCAATCCTCTAACGAACTCGCACTAGGAAAAAATATTTAAAAAATATTTTAAATAAAATAAGATGACCAAAATACCCCTGAAAATTTCAAGAGGTATTTTGGTCATTATATTTTATTGAAAAACAAATTTAATATTTTTATAGGTGCGCCCCAATGAGAAGATGGCACAAACAAAATTTCATATCTATGTAAATTTTATAAAAAAAAAGTTAAAAATAAAATACTTTGAGACATCAAATCTAAGATCAAAGGGTGAGTGACTCTCTTGATCAAAATTGGAAGGCTAGATGGTACGG